AACTCCAGGTCTTTGCACATTTCATTATAGTAATTGGCTCTGTCTGCTCTAGCTGCTCTTAGAAATCTTCTGTTCATCTCTTTTATCTTGTCATTGCCCTTAGGACAAATTAAAACATGCATGATATGACTTACATAATTATTCATGTTCTAGCCCTTCTTTTATCTAGTCCAATCTCATTTTTAAATCCTCACCTTCCATGGTTCAGAGTTCAAAGCATACTGAAAATGTCGGTGGGAAATATTCCTTCTTCTCATGGATCAATCCCTCAGATCACCAACTTAAAGTTTACTACCTCAGGAAAGTTTTTACAGATGACCCAAATCTGGCTTATGTTTCTTTATTTGATTTCTTAACAGAGAGTTGCACTTACTATCTATATTATAAATATTACCTCAGTGGATTCCTATAATAATAATCTTAGGAGGTAAGTACTATTATTAACCCTATTTTACAGGTGAGGAAACAGAGGGACATAGAGGCTACATAACTTGCTCAAGTCCATAGGTAGTGAGTGACAGAGACAGGATTCTAATGCAGACCAGAATCCATGCTCCTTCTAGGTATTTATATATTAAGCCTTACCTATGCATGCATTATGGCATATTTTAATTACTTGTCTGCCAATATTTCTAGCCTGTCAACTCCAACAAGACAAGGGTTATATCTACCTTATTCATGCTGTGTCCTTAGAACCTAGTGCTGTGTGTGAGATTGAGGAAACACTTGCATATAATATTAATAAAAGGATAAATAAAAGCATTTAAAATTATGCCTCTGGTTTTACTCAAGAAAAAAAAACTCTATTTTGAAAATGGACTCAACTTAGTCTAGCAACTAGAATACTCCTGTTTTGAAAATGGAAACTAAATACTCTTGTGCTCTTATTTTTTTGTGATGGTACTTTTTCTTGTCTATCTCTACCTCTCTATCAGGCATATCTTCTCTGAATATCTTCAATGATCCCATGCTCTGCTTCCTACTTGAAATGTTCTCTATCCTTGAGCCAAAATTCATATATGTAGCCTGTTTAAGGTCAATCCCAATTTCACTTGCTGTGTCAACACTTGTCAAGAGTAAGAGAAATGTAGGCATACTTGGGTGGCCACTCCCATTTTCTAAATATTCTCTGCCCATGAAACTAGTCCTGCCTAGACTGCCAGCTATTTATTATTTGTTCCATATTTTTATTTTTGAGGGTTATAAGCTTTTTATGATCATGAACCATATTTTATAGCTCTTCACATATGCCATCAATGAATGTATAATTGGGATTTAATTTGCTAAAATGATTTTAGTTAGATATATGTTAGTTGGTATATTGACATCTACAGAAGAAACGAGATTGGCATTGTTTCTGGAAAAGGACACTGGGGCTTAAGTGAGGAAAACAAATAAATGTGTACCATTTTCTGATGTTTGATTTTTGAAATGACACTCATGTATGTTTTTAACATCAAAGTGAAAAAAAGTCATGACATTAGTAACTATAATGGGCTGAACTCAACAAGTGTTTATAAGAGTGGAGGAGAGGATATATGTGTAAATCACTCCCGCCCCTTTTTTACCTGGATAACCTACCGCTCCTGAAGTCCCTGAGGCCGCTCCTGGTCCCTCCCTTTCCTGGCTCTAGGGGACTTGGGGATTACTCAATAAGTGACCTGAAAAAAAGTATTATTTCTTCAGTCAAAGACATTTAATGGATCCTTCTTCTCATGCCTTCAAAAAAGTGATAATTAAGATGCCGTGTATGGACCTTGCTTGCATCCAGATTTCAAAAAAGAAAAAAATGATTTTTTGGGGGGGGAAAAACAGACTGAGTTTAAATTTAAGGAATTATTGCTATAGTTTATTGGTTGCGATAGTGGTTTTGTGGTTACATTTTAAAACTTCCTATCTATTGGAGACACTTACTAAAGTATTTATAGGCAAAAATAGCTAATGTCTAGCATCTGCTTTAAAATATTCAGATGTATTCAAGAGTGACTTGTTCTAACCAAAAAAGAAAAAGAAAAACCGAACTCACTGCCTTCAAGTCGATTTGACTCATAGCAACCCTTCCTTGGGTTTTTGAGGCGGTGTCTGTACAGAAGTAGATTGCCCAATCTTCCTTCCAAGGAGTGGCTGGTGGGTTTGAACCAGCAGCTTTCTGGTTAGCAGTCAAATGTCTTAGGCACTATGTTAGGAGACTTGTTCAAAGAGACAAGAAATTTTAATGAAAAAAACTTCAGAGACACATGGTGGCGCTGCAGGATAAGATGAAAATGATGTTCAAGCTGACTCTGTAGGCTCCATTATTCAGGGGAACAGAGATCGCCCGGCCCACTGAAAACAGGGGCATTAAAGGAGGTTCACCGACAGAGCTGCTGGAGGGTTTTGCATATCTTCCAGGGGTTTCATATATATATATAAACAATCAGACCTCTAGCTTCCAAAATTAGGACTGAACTTTAAATTTTCCACACAAGAGACTGCCTGAAGGAACCATGGAGACTGGAAGGGTGCTCACTCTGCGGAAAAGGCAAGTCTTGATTCTCTTTGTTTTACTGGGATTGTCTCAGGCGGGTCTTGAATCTGGGAGCTATTCTGTGGCAGAGGAAAATGAAATTGGCTCCTTTGTGGCCAGTCTGGCAAGGGACCTGGGGCTGAGGGTGGAGGAGCTGTCCTCACGGGAGGCACGGGTAGTGTCAGATGATAATAAAAAGCATTTGCACCTTGATTTGCTGACTGGGGATTTGCTGTTAAATGAGAAACTAGACCGAGAAGAGCTCTGTGGCTCCACCGAGCCCTGTGTGCTGCATTTCCAGGTGTTACTGAAAAACCCTTTACAGTTTTTTCGGGCTGAGCTGCACATTAAAGATATAAATGATCACTCTCCTACATTCCTGGATGAGGAAATACTTCTGAAAATATCAGAAAGTACCACTGTTGGAACAACATTCTTACTGGAGAGTGCTCAAGATTTGGACATAGGAAGTAACGGTCTCCAAAACTACACAATTAGCCCCAGTTCGCATTTCTGCATTAAAATTAGAGACAGCAGTGAGGGAAAGATATACCCAGAGCTGGTCCTGGACAAAGCATTGGATCACGAGGAGGAGCCTGAACTGAGATTAACACTCATAGCTCTGGATGGTGGGTCCCCGCCCAGGTCTGGGACAACTGTGGTGCTCATCAGTGTTTTGGACATCAATGACAATGCCCCTGAGTTTTCTCAGGGGCTCTATGAGGTGCAGGTCCTGGAGGACACATCCCTGGGCTCCTGGGTTATCACTGTCTCTGCTAAGGATTTGGATGCAGGAAATTATGGGAAAATATCTTATACATTTTTCCATGCATCAGAAGATATTCGTAAAACATTTGAAATCAATCCAATATCTGGAGAAGTTCATTTAAGAGCGCTCCTAGATTTTGAAGTAACACAATCTTACACTATAAACATTCAGGCCACAGATGGTGGAGGTCTTTCAGAAAAATGCATTCTTCTGGTTAAAGTAATGGATATAAACGACAACCCACCAGAAGTGACCATGTCATCAATTACAAACAGAATTCCAGAGAATGCACCGGAGACACTTGTCGCTGTTTTTAGTGTCCGAGACCAAGACTCTGGTGACAATGGAAGGGTGATTTGCTCTATTCAGGATGACCTCCCCTTCATTCTCACACCGACCTTCAAGAATTTCTTCACTCTGATTACTGAAAAAGCACTTGACAGAGAAATGAGAGCTGAGTACAACATCACCATCACCGTCACAGACTTGGGTTCCCCTAGACTGAAAACCCAGCATAGCATCATTGTATGGGTCTCCGACGTCAATGATAATGCACCCACCTTCACCCAAACCTCTTACACTTTGTTGGTCAGTGAAAACAACAGCCCTGCCCTGCACATTGGCAGCGTCAGCGCCACAGACAGAGACTCTGGAACCAATGCCCAAGTCGCCTACTCCTTGCTGCTGCCCCAGGACCCACACCTCCCCCTCGACTCCTTGGTCTCCATCAACGCAGACAACGGGCACATGTTCGCTCTGAGGTCGCTGGATTATGAGACGCTGCGAGAGTTCGAGTTCCGCGTGGGCGCGGTCGACGCAGGCTCCCCGGCGCTGAGCAGCGAGGCCCTGGTGCGCGTGGAGATTGTGGACGACAATGACAACTCGCCCTTCGTGCTGTACCCGCTGCAAAATGGCTCTGTACCCTGCACTGAGCTGGTGCCCAGGGCGGCTGACGCGGGCTACTTGGTGACCAAGGTAGTGGCAGTGGACAGTGACTCAGGCCAGAACGCCTGGCTGTCCTACCAGCTGCTCAAGGCCACGGAGCCCGGGCTGTTCAGCGTGTGGGCGCACAATGGCGAGGTGCGCACCGCCAGGCTGCTGAGCGAGCGCGAAGCGGCCAAGCACAGACTCGTCGTGCTGGTGAAGGACAATGGTGAGCCGCCAATGTCGGCCACCGTCACACTACACGTGCTCCTGGTGGACGGCTTCTCGCAGCCTTACCTTCCGCTTCCGGAGGTGGCCCCAAACGAGGCCCAGGCAGACTCGCTCACTGTCTACTTGGTCATAGCGTTGGCTTCAGTCTCGTCGCTCTTCCTGTTCTCGGTGCTCCTGTTTGTCGCCGTCCGGCTGTGCAGGAGGAACACGGCCGCCTACGTGGGTCGCTATCCGGTGCCCGAGGGACACTTTCCGGACCACTTGGTGGACATCAGCGGCACTGGGACCCTGTCCCAGAGCTACCAGTATGAGGTGTGTCTGACAGGAGGTTCTGGGACTAATGAGTTTAAATTTCTAAAGCCGATTATTCCCAATCTCCCAGTCCAAGATTCTGGTAGGAATATGGGGGAAAACGCCAACTTCCGGAATAGCTTTGGATTCAACATTTAATAAAATAATTTATTTTTAATTTTTATTATCTTTGACACACAAACTGCTCATTCTTTTTGTCTCATCTGTAATAGATTTTAGGTTGTACTGTAGTTGCATGCATCATTACTTGTTCATGCTCTCCTCAAATTTGCTTTAGAAATCTTTATTAGTGGCTGTAAGGAGCTCTGGTAGCATAGTGGCTAAGACACTTGCCTGCTAACCATATGGCTGGCGGTTCAAACCCACCAGCCACTCCTCGGAAGGATGGGCAATCCTACTTCCGTAGTGATACAGCCTCGGAAACCCAAGGAGGGGTCGCTATGAGTCGGGGTTGACTCGACGGCACATAATAACAACAACAACAACATAAGGAAACGGGGAGCTCTGGTAGCGTAGCGTCTAAGGCACTTTACTGTTAACCAGAAGGCTGGTGGTTCAAACCCACCAGCCCCTCCTCGGAAGGAAGGTTGGGCAATCTACTTTGGTAGTGATACCGCCTCGGAACCCAAGGAGAGGTCCCTATGAGTCAGAAACGACTCGACGGCAGTGAGTTTGGTTTGGTATAAGGAAATGGAAATATAATCTGTATACTTTTAAAAAAATATTTTGTAACAAATGTTATATTAAGGAACTATTCCCCTGAAACTACTGCCCTGAGATAATCTTGAAACCCTAAAGCAAAAATATCTTCTAAAGTATAGCCAAACAACAGTTTAGCTTATTAGTGGGAAAAAAAAAAAAAGTCTCTACCTTGAACAATGAGCTCTTTTAAGAACTACCTATATGGGTGAAATTGACAACTCAAAAGTTTAGATAAGAACTTTGAAGGGCAGTAAGAATATAGAAGCAGAATAATTTGAAAAAAATGGTTGCACGATTTTAAGACTGTAATCAATGTTACTGAATTGTAAAGGTAGAAATTGTTTAAATGATTAATGTCCTGCTGTTTATATTCTCAACAAAAGCAAGAGCAAATTGCATTAAAAAGAACTGTTGCTATTTTTCTTAGAGAAGACAATGTTCTTAATTTTTGGAGATGCATACTAAAGTATTTAAGAGTGAATGTCACAACATATGTAATTTAATTCATCAAAAAATAAAGCAAAGATTAAAAACGGTTTTCCATTTTGGTGGGATGTATCTTGGATTTTATTGTTCTATTTTATGCTTGAAAACTTATATCATAAAAAATGCTACTTTCTCTATTGGGTAGTAGAGAACCTTTTGTTGTTGTTGTTATGTAGTGTTGTTCAAGATCTCACTTTACTACAACATAAAAATGACCACATTGATTTATTGTTTGTTACATGTGTAATTTTAAAGAACTATTTTTCTTGTTGATGCTGTTGTGGGAGGTGAATCTTAAAATGTTTGAGGCTTTGCTATTGCTATTTTGCTTTCTTTAAACACACCACATTTACTAATTCAAAGTTTTTATTATTTTATATTGTTCATTACTAAACCAGAATGTAGTTCATGATATCATCGTAAATGAACTAGCCTTCACCACAAGGGTACAACATGAAGACTGCTTAAGAAATTGAAATGAAAATTCAAACTGTTGAAGAAAATTACTGGGATTTATTTTCTTATTCATTCTTAAGAATGGAATATAAAATATCACTGATATTTTGTGGCCTCTCAAAGATATGCACAAAGGAGAAATGTTTCTTCATTTACAGTTTATAGACATCTCATCTGTGCTACAAATTATCATGTCTCAAATCTCTAAATAGACAGTTTCATGGAGAATTACAACTAGGTTTTGAGAACTGGAATGTAGTGTAGATATAAGATTAGTGTGTATGCACATTTCTCCATGCACTGTCATAAATCAAATAAATAAATCTGGACCAAAGAAGAGTGAAGAAAATCAAAGACTCAAGGGAACAATTACTCCAAAGATCTAATGGGCCACGTGAACTTCACTACCTGGAGACCAGTAGGACTAGATGGTGCTGGGTTTATCAGGATCACAGTAGAAGGTCCTGGACAGAGAGGGAGAAGAAAAATGTAGAGCAAAATTGAAAATGAAAAGGACAATAATTTTTGGCTTGCTAGAGATTGGTGGAACCATGCCCCCCCAACCTATCACCCTTAGGTACCCTTCAAGCCTGGAACTAATGCATCCCCAGGGATCAACTTTCAGCCAAACAATAGGCAGGCCTATAAGGTGAATGATAACACCAAGGACGAATGCACTCCTCAGTACAGTCAACCGAAGGAGAGCAGCATTTTCCCAAAAACAAAGCTCAGAAGGCAGGAAAGAAGGAAGACCAAGAATAGGGAACCCAGGGAGGAAGTGCTGTTACATTGAGGGGATTGCGACCAATGTCACGAAACAAAATGGTCATAAATTGTTGAATTGAACTAATATACTCTGTAAACTTTCACCCAAATTATAATAAAAATTTTAAAAAGAAAAAGTTTACTGGGTCTATCAGACTGTGAAAATTGCTCATAATAGATTATATTAATTAATTTAGAATTTCACAGCAAATGAACTTTGTATTGTCTAAGGTAAAACTGTACCATCAACTCCACATTTAAAATGTAATTTTCTGCATGATATGAGTAAATGTAAAAAAAAAATGTAGTAAGGTGGAATAGAACTTGCAATTTTGAAATGGGAGAAACAAAATTCAAATTTTCTAGGAATCTTCTTTTCCCTGCTTCTTGCAATTCTGACTGATTCTATTTTGTCTTGAAGCCAATATTTACTTGTGAGAATTCCATTTAAATAGCCACTTAGACAATAACATCTTTAAAGGAATCTTTGTACCTTTTACCCTTCACAGCCATAAGAAACAAAGCTATGCTCATGACAGCCACTTTAAGATCTAAGGGTAAATACTAAAGAAAGGAAGAAGAGTTGAAAGAATAGAACACAAAGGTAGGAGGAGAATTGAGATGCAAAGGAAGTAAGAGAAATGTTTCTTTATCTTGTAATTAACCAATTAGAAATGAAAATTTAAAAATAGTAACCAACTAGAATGCATCTAGGAATTAGTCTATCAAAGAATGAAGAAACCTGTAGGGGAAAATTTAATGAAATCAATAGAATGAGAAAGAAAATCATTAAATAATTGAACAAGAAAGATACTGGTTCTTTGTTAGAACAACTTAATACAAGAAAGATGTGTATTCTTCCCAGAATAACTTATAAACTCAATGCAATCACAATTAAATCTATGAGTAGCATCAAAAAACAGTTCCTAATATTGATAAGGAAGAATAAAGTTACTTGAAAAGATAAAACAATTTTTAAAAAGAAAAGCAGGAGGGAATGCCTTACCATATAGATATTAGGGTATGTTACAAATCTGAGCTACTCTATTTGAATGATTCAGGAACTATGTAGACCACCAGACAGAATAAAATCCAGGGATATATATATATATATATATATATATATATATATAATTTAAATAGACACTTAGACTATAAGTGTGTGTGTGTGTGTATACAGTCAGATAGAGGAGGAAAAGACTGATTACTTAGCAAATGTTATTGGGAAAACTGGCTCACTACATAAAGACACAAAAGCCCTATCTCATGCTGTATAAAAATAAACTTCATATGGTTCTAAGAACTGAATTAGAAATGTTTGTATTGGAAATAATTGGATAAAAGTATCTTTATGACCTTAGGATTAGCTTCAATTTCTTAAATAAAGCTCTAGAAGTACAAACAATAAAGATAATGTAAAAATTCTAAAAGAGCATAGACAAGCTAGTAGATGACAGACAAGGAGAAGCTGCTGACAATATTTTAACTGAGAAGCAGTAATTAAAAACAAAAAACAAAACAAAAAAAACCTGCCATGAAGTCAGTTGCAACTCATAGCTACCCTTTAGGACAGATAGAACTGCCCCATTGGCAAATAAACTGCAGATGAGAAAGAAAAAAAAAAAAAAAGTCAGAAAAACTAATGGGATAAAAAAGGACAAACCAAACCAAACCCTTGCTGGTCCAGTTGTTTTCTACTCCTAGACACCCTACAGGACAGAGTAAAACTTCCCCATAAGGTTTCCAAGGCTGTAAATCTTTACGGAAGCAGACACCTCATCTTTCTCTCACAGAGCAGCTGGTAGGTTCAAACCAATTAACTTTGGGCTAGTGTGCCACCAGGACTCCTTTAAAAAGGACAAAAGGAAGAGGGAATTCACATAAGGAGAAAATGGAAAGTTTGAAAAGAACTTGAAGTGATGTTCAACTTCATAAATAGTTGGTAAAATGCACACTAAACTAAAATGTCAATTTACATCCAGAAGATTATTAAAGATGAGAAATGTGGATAATGTCAAGCAAAACAATAGAAAATCTCATGATCAGCCTATTTTGAGAGCTTTTTCTTAGTTTTCTTTTCTTCTTCTTCTTTTTTTTTTTTTTTAGTGACATTTAGTACGTATCTTCTGTATGATCTGGCAATTCAACTTTGTGATATATAAGCAACAGAACTCTTAACACAGGTTTACAAACATGTGTATGAGAACGTTCATCTTGGGATAGATTCTGATAGGAAAGAATAGAGGGCTACTTACTTGCCCATGAATAAAACAATTGATTGGTAAAATATGGTACATGATGGTGAAGGAGTATTATGCAGTGATCAAAAGAAATGAACAAGTTGTATGTACAACTACATGGATAAATCTCAAATGTTTACACATGTATGTTGTTATGTGCCATTGAGATATCTTATATTTGTAGAAATACACAAATATATCAATAAACAGAGGTTGATTGATTCGTTCATTCAATATTTATTGGATGTATGCAATGTGCCCCCACAATTTTTTTTTTAGCTACTAAAAATACAGCTGTGAGGAAAAACACAAAAATCCCTGTTTTCTTGGAGCTCACATTCTATTGAAATAATATGAAAACTATATATATAACAAGTAAATTACACACTATATTGAAAAATTAACTTGCTTAGGAGAAAAATAAAACAGGAAAAAGGAATGAGAAATGCTAAAGAGTATCAGTTTCAAATAGGATTATCAGAACAAGCC